AGTTCTTACCATTTGAACGGAATACGCTAACCCTATTTTAGTGAAGCAAAGAATTTAAGACAATTTTTAGCTCGAAATGACAAATTATAATAATATGTTTTCACACTGCGGCTTAATATTCATGTACATACATAAATATGTATATATATAATCAAATATAATTAATAGTACAGAGTTATTTGAATGTGTTATAATTATACCTCTTTTAACAATCACATATATTGCTAATCACAATATCATAACATAATGAAAAACTATAAAAATAAAACAAAAGGATAGCAAAAATATTGTCCTCAGCAATTAAATTAAATGATCTATAAATATTTCAGAAAAAAAAATAATATCTACCAATTACGAACTCAATTTATAATTTAAAGTGTATTGTGTTCTTTAATTTGTCAAAAATTTGTATTAAAAACAAAAACCACCAGAAAAATTGAAATACTTACACAAGTAAATGTACCCAAAAAAAAACAATTCTATATTTTCAATTTGAATTTAGAATGACATCAGAATTAATTAAAGTCAGTTTACATTTAGTCACATCATAGTCAATATAAGTATAATACAGATGATAAATTCATGTATGTTTATATGAATATGTACCTGTATACATATTGTAAATAAAGTCTATGTAAATATTATATATGTATACAAGGTAAATTTGTACCTAAAATACAAAGCTGAACAAATTGTTATCATAATTTTTAAATGAAATTATTCTGATAACGTTAGAACTGTGTTTTTAAATTTAGGTAAATTTTAAGTATTAATATTAAGTTCTGCCTTATCTAATTAAAAGTAATTAAAGTAACTGGATTTCAAACAAATTTTTTAAGCAATTTGGCACGTAATCAAATTGAGTAATTTAGCACAATGAATCATATGGAATTTTTAAATATACCACACTTGGGAAGATAAGGTGTTTTAATTTATTATGAAATTTAACTGAATTCACATACTTGCATATACATGGATGTACCTATATGAATAATTTATTATTTTTTTTTATAAGTTCTTATAAAAATCTAAAACTTTTCGCCATAGCCTAACCAGAAAACTGATGAACAAAAAATTATTAGGAACTTATTTAACAAATTTCGTTTATCAAAGTTGAAACAAAAATTTAGTCGATTATTAATTTTTTTATGAAAGTAAGTGCTTGTGTAAAGACACAAAATTCAATATTGTTGAATGAGTACAGTAAAACACGGTTAAGTGGATCACGCTTAAGTGGATTTCACGCTTAATTGCATCAAATTTTCGTGGCTTGTACTTTTTTCGCTTTTTTCATATAAAAAAATTCGTTTAAGTGGAATTCGGATAAGTGCACAACACGCTTATCTGCACATATATTTTTTCCCTCATGTAATACTTAATATGTAAATTTATTCGGTTAACTGCACATCCCTGTTTTTATTTAGCATAAATGTCAAAAATGAAAAACTACACTCTCAACAACAAAATAAGAAAAGCAACACTATGTAGCTACACAAAATATTTTAGTTTCTGTCATTGTCAAATTTTGAGTGTTGAAAAATTAAAGTTATAATATTATTAGCTAAAATTAATTTGAATTTGTAAGGAAAAAAACCTAAGCAAGCTACATTTTTATAAATTTAAACTAAAAAAGTGAAGAATTTAAATACAAAATTATACAAAAATGATAAAAAAAAGAACGTTATTAGAAATTGAAAAAAAATTAGAAATCATAAAAAAATTGAAGGATGGAAAATCAAGAAGGGAAATCCAATCAGAGTATGGATGCGGTTTATCAACAATATCCCGAATTACAAAAAATGAAAATTATTTTAAAACTCTAAGAGATAAAAATAAAAACATAGGTAATAATGTTTTTATAACTTATAATTAGAACCAGTTTTTAATAAATTCAATTCTTTGACATCGGAGGTAATTTTTTAAATCGAATTCGTATAAGTGGAAAACACGCTTTAGTGGACAAAATTTTCTTGGCTGATCGATTTCCACTTAACCGTGTTTTACTGTATATACAAAAACATTAACTCATAAAATATTTTTGATAACTTATAGCAATGACAACATCCCATCATTTAATTCATTCTTATGTATGTATATATTAACAACAAAGTAATTTACTACTCATACATTTACATACATACATATATAGATTCATACATTTAACATAATAGTGTAAACTAATTTTTATATAAGTACACTTAAGCATTCAAAAGAAATCGTTGTAACTTGTTGTACATTAGGTATTTGTTGCTTTTATAATATTTAATTTAATTATGAATTTATGTAGACAATGATTGATTAAATAGATTACCCATATCATATCCAACTGTAGTATTAATACATTACAAGTACATTCTTGTCAACTCTGAAAACCGGCTCAAATGTACATATCTTGAAATCACTTAAACACTCATAACGTACATAATTGTCAATAAAATTGTAAATTCAATACAAATTTCTGATAAAAACATAATACTTAATTACAGTAAAGTTATAAATAGTGCAGGTACAATTAAGTTACAATTAAATGAATTTACAATAAAAATTGATTATGGTACACAAAATTTAGTATAAAAATCGTTTCTATGCCAAGATTTTAAAGGCCCTATTGTTCACTATTTTTGATTTTTACTTATTTTAAACGCTGTAATTACCAACTATCATTAATTTTGGATTTTTTTACAAAATTTAATGTTTTTATTGAAATGTAACAAGTAATAATAAAATTTAAATGAAAATTTTATACAAACTTTTAATTTGAAAAACAAAAATTGATTTTAAAAAATTTGAAATTTTTGAAAAGAAAAACTAGAATTTTCATTTTGGAAAAACAAAAAAAAATCTAGTAATCAAAAATTATTTTTCGAAACTTTTCTTGGTAAAGAAAATTGATAGGTTTTTAATTTTTGCCAGTTTTTATAAGAAATGGTACCTATATGGTTTCAAATTTTTAAATGCATTTTTCTGACATTGGGTGCAATTTAAAAATTTGAAAAAATAATTTTCGGAATCTAGACACCATTTGGCATCTGAAGTTATTAAAATTATCCAGCTGAAACGATTTTTTAAAGGCATGCCATATAAATTTTGACATTTATTTTAATAGGAAAACAATTTTTTTAATAGGAAAATTTAATTTTTTTTATACAAAATGGAGTTTGTAAATGACATGGTATTAACATTATGAAGTTACTAAATAATATTAATAAATAATTTAATGGGATTAATAAATTTTAAACATATTTCTACAAAAACTAAAATTGGTATATTGTTGCGATTGAATAGAAAAATATTTGAAAGATGAAAAACATAAATTTTTTCCGAATTAGGTGAGCTTCATAGGAAAAGTTGGTGTTTGTTTTGAGAAATTTGTAAAATTTTTGGATAAGGAATTCGTATTTTTCCAAAACTTTTGGTAAAGGAGTAGAGTTATATCACCCTGTATATAAAAGTATTAAATTTAATTTAATTTTTGTTTTATCAACATCTGGTTTGATTTTAATTAAATTTTTGGCTCACCATATTTGTGGTTTTTGTGCTATATCTTCTGTACCATAAAGAATTTTTTTATGTTTGAGGACTTAAATTAAAGCTTAAGCAGCTGGGAAAAATTCTATTAAAAAAACTTCAAGGTTTTAGAAAATACCTTAGGAAATTATATGGTTAGAAAAAACTGAAAAAATAAGGCAATGTAAAAATTTGATTTTGAATAAAGTTCGAATACTTTGTATTTCAACGATACATATAAAATACACAATCAAGCAACATGTTTCGTGAAAATTCGTCAAAATTCCTGGAAATTGGAAACCCTTGAGATTTGGCATTCAGTCCGGAACAAATGTTTTACCCATTTTCGATCCTCTAACAATTAGTATATGTTGTTATATACCTTTCAGAATCACCCTGTATATAAAGCTTATATATCTTTCAGAATCACCCTGTATATAAAGCTTATATATGTATATTCATAAGTAAAATACGTGCGTCTGTTGAATTAAAGTTTTAAGTACTTAAATACAAAAAATAGAGATAGAAAAATCAGAGATTTAAGCATTGTGTGCTTTGTTTATATTGTATTAAAAATGCTGTTTCAAAAATTATAGTTTATTAGAACATGGAATCTCCCAAAAACTGTATACATAATTAAAAACTTAAAAATGAGAGAATGAAGTAACTTATGGGAAAGAGCGTAGGTATTAACTTTTCAGTTACAGACTGAATTCAACAAAAGATTTAATTATTTTAGAATTAAATATTTAAAGCTAAATACCTATAAATTGTCTTAGTAATACCTATGAACTAATTTTGAACTCCACAAATACTAAATATTTTTTTTTATGTATTGTAAAATTATTGTATGTAATAAAATGACCACGTCTGTAATTTTATTTATTGCTTTCGAATATTTATTTTAAGATTCAAATATAAGAAAAAAATATTTAATTTCTTTATACTTTGGTATGATATGAACATATACAAATGTTTGTAAAAACATGTATAATGTGCATGTGCTTTTATAAGCACATATGTACATACATATATTTATAGGAATATAATGAAAGTACTAATTGTTTTTATATATTTAGTATTTTCGTTTTTGTTTTTTGGCTAAATAAATACAAATGACACAAAATACTTGTTTTTATAACAATTTGTACCTATATAAGAAATATATAGGTACATATAACACTTATATATTGCGACATGAATAAAAATTTTAAGTAAAAAAAAAATGAAAAATAAGAGAAAAATTTAAACCATATAAAGTCAATAAAAATAATTTTATATTGTTATACCCATACACACAAATACAATATACATAGATAAGTACTAAAATATACTGAATTTTCGTAGAGTACTAATTAAGTATTCACACCAAAATGTATGTATATATAGGTATGTATATAACTTAAAAGAAATTAAGTATATGAAATTTGAGAAATTTGCAAATATTTTCTATAGCAATGAAAAAATAAAAAGTTTTATTTTATATTACTTACCAATATTAACAATTTTAATACCCTCATCTTCAAGAAATTTTAATGCAACCGAAACATTTTCCAATTTTTGACTACGAAATACGGGACGTTTATTATATTTCGGCATACGTTTTTGTGCTAAAACTTCAATTAATGCTATCAAACGTAAACCATCTGATAATTCCGTTTCTAAATTGACAATACTACGATCAATTATTTTAAGATGCTCATTTGCCCAACGTGTAAATGTATTCTGTTGAATTTTTTTCCATTGAGCATCTTCAGCTAAATCACGTTCAGCTTCCATGTCTTCTTCTTCTTGAAAATCACCAGCACTCTAAACAATATGTTATTAATTATATATATACATATAATATATATAATATAATTAAGTTAAGTATGTATATATTTTTATACTTAGATAATTTTAAAATTCATTTTCATATATTTAACATGATATATGTATGTATGTATATGAAAAACAATTTTAATATTATATGTATATACTTATATGTATGTATATAACTATGTTTTATTTATTGATTAATATTAGAAATCGATTCAAATTATTATTAAAATATATTTGTTATTTATTTTTAATCTTTTTGTTTTAAATATTTTTATTTTTAGCCACGATTTTTTTTTAAAATTTCATTAAAGATTATTAAGATTATAATTTTCTCTTATTTTCAAAACAAAAGAATTTTAATAGTTATTCTGTTTAAGTTTGTTATTTAAATACAAAGTTACCGGCACTTTATTTAACAGGTTATTGTCTTCTTACTTATATTCAACACAATTAATCGATTTTCAATAGAATCGATTATAACGTTCCTTATTTATTGCATTACTAATTTTTATTATATATTTAATTTTATTACATATTTACTTAAGTATATGTTTACTTATTTATTATTTAATTAATATTATAATAAAAAATTAAATATTAAAAATTAAAATACCATGAAGCCTTTATTATTCATTATTCAATTCACAAAAACAATATTTTTAAAAAAATTTTATTTTGTGATAAGTATAGAAAATAAATTTTTAAATCTAAATTCAATGTTTGTTTTTAAAGTAAGAATAAAATTTTATTCAATTTATTGAATGTGTACACTCCTAGTAGTTTTATTTACATAAAAAGTATATTGTTTTTAAAAATTTAATTTAAGTATATTGAAATTTTCTTCGAATAAATTGTAATAAAATTGAAATATTCGAAATTTTTCGAGATTCACCTGAGCTAGATCTGGCAAATCTATTTTTGTTAAATTTCTTTTTCAAATTATTTTTTTAACCCTTTAATTTTTCCAAATTGTTTTACATTTTTTCTGTTTTTTATTTGGACATATTTTTTTAACTTTGATAAATTTCGAATGTATTTGACATATTTCGCAGATCCAAATAAAAATATGAATTTTTATCTAAAAAAAATACATACTTATATACAAGTATAAAAATATGCTCAACTTTCCCCCTTGCATTTTTCTAGAATAAAATTTTAAGCAAGTAAAGAAATTTATATTATTATTCCCGAAACTTAAACTAAATTACAAAATTTAATAAAGCCAATGAAACTAAACAATATTTTTAAAATTAAATATCTCAATTATGGAATTTATTTTTGGAGTACAAAAATTCATGTAAACATTTAAAGGGTTAATATATTTCAAACAACAATGATTTTATAAATAAAATATTTTTTGGATGCATTCTTTCTAAAAGTTAACTATGAGTAATTCAATGATATTACATAGAAATATTCAAATACGTATAAAATACCTATAAATACAAATAACATTCACAGTATTTATATAAGTACTCGTATATATTTATATATTTGCACTCCTATGCAAATGTACACAAGCATTGTTTTGATTCTATAGAAATTTTAGTTCCTCAACGGAACTAAAATGCTGTTTCAATGTACTTAATCATATTTACTTATATAAGAAATGTAAATTTTAATTACAATACAAATAAGAAAGTAATAAATATTTTGCTTGAAATCCTAAATATATAAACAAGAGAGGAAAATTTTTTAAAAATCTCAAAAATTTTAATAATTAAATACTTTGCATACAAAGGTAGTTCTTAGGGAAATTTGTAAATTTAAAACCAAAAAAAGATAACCATACTATCGAGACAATATAATAAAAATTTAATTAAACTTTCTCCCTTAAGATTAAATTTATTTTAAATCTTTTTGTGGTTCACAATCAAAATCTAAAGTTCATAAAATTATTTTTAAAAATATCATACTTAATTGTTGTTGATTTTCCAAAAAAAAAAAAAATTACTTATCTTATCAAACTTGTAAAAAAAAAAATAAACAGTTAAAATACCGGTATAGAATGACGACGGTGAAATCTTATGTATGTGTATATTTAATGTATAAATCTACATATACATCCATATACATATTTCTTGTAATGCACAATGACATTGCATCTGAATTGTAATTTTTCTTCATTTGAATTACTAAAATATTTACAAAATCATGTTTACACACACACAAAAATGTAAGTCTATAAAAAAATGTAATTAATATATATAATATAAATGTATATATATGAATGTAGTGTAGTATATGTATATAAGTATATGAATATAAACAAATTAAACCAATTAATGCAACAGAAATCAAGTGGATATTTTTTTTAAATAATAAAAACCGAAAAAAATATTCTGACTAATTGAAACGAAATTCTTTAGAGAATTATTGAATTTATTTTTTAAAGTACTTAAATAAGTCCATAATTGGTAATATTTTTAATATAATTATAATGAGTTCTGTTGATATAGTTACCCAAATGATTAATTATAAAAATTATATTTCACTTCGCTTGAATGTAAAAACCATAGCTTAATTAAGTAATTAATTTAAGATTTTTAATAAGTATTTCACTGTGGTCATCAATTTATGAAAATTAGTAAAAAATAATAGGCAATAACTATAGTAAAATTTAATACTGTTTAAATTAAAATTTAATTTACACTTATATTATTCACTTTAGCAATAGAATTGATTTTTATTTTTTCAGATAGTAGTTATCTAAGTACACTCAGTATCTATAAGGAATTATATCCAAGAAGGAATTATAACTAAGAATAATTATAATTATACAGAATAAGTAAGTACTTATGTTATTTTATTAACATTGATAATTTAAACATAACACTCAACTTAACTGTTTCAAATTGTTCAATTTATTACTGATTTCAATATTTTTGACCCGAACATTCTTTATATTCTTATAACAAAAACAATAATTGTATTAAATTAACATTACTTTTATAATATAAGTAAATAAAAATTTCACGTTCTATAGGAAGTTTAATTTTAAATCTTAAATTACTTATATTATGTCATAAAATATACTATTAAAAATTATAAGAAAATTTTTTTAGAATTTTTTTTTTTAATAAATAAATATTTACCTTCATACCCAAAATATTTCGCAAAGAAAATTTACAAAAAAATACTTAACGTAGATTACGAAAAAAATTAATAAGTATGTAAATATTTTGCCTTTTCTTTAAGCTGGTATAAGTAATAAAATAAAATAAAATAAAAAAATTTTTTTACGCGAATAAATCGAAACCTTATCAGTTATAATTCAGGTAACACAGTTATGCAATTATTTGATATTTTTCATATTTGATTTTTAATAAAATAAGTAAGTATATAAAGTAAGAATACGAAGGAAAAAGAAAAAATATAAAAAAAAACTGTGACTTCATCATACCACCTTTTCGCGGTCATAATATTTATAAAAACCATGACTTCATTTTTTAACTTTTCAGCAAAATAAAATGGGAATGAATTTTAAGTGTAGAATTTTTTTTTTTAATGCAAATTTTACTTAATCTATAGGTAGTAAAAATTTTATTTTTATATTGTTTTTCACAAAATCTACTTTTTATACTAAGAGAGGTATTGTTTTCGTATTTAATTAATAAATTTGAACATTTGAAAATTTTAAAAAATATACTTAAGTAATAATGATCGAAATGTAGTTTTTCTGTTTCTATTTTCAAAGAATTTTGTAAAACATATAAGTATTTAGTTTCTGTTCAAATACTGTGTGCTTACTAAAAGTTAAAATGGATTAATTTCTTTACTTTCTCAACTACATAAGCCCTTATTTAAAGATTCAAAGTGAAGTTCAGTAATCATAGTTAAAATCTGCTCTCTCTCTCTCTGTCTCTATGCATAAAAGAAAATTAGTTAGTAAATTTTACGACACGAACCACAAAAAACAATTTTAATAAATATTGAACTGTAATTTTACGCTACTTAAATTAAATTTTTAAGATTTATTTAATGTACTTATAGTATTAAGCAAATTATCTTTAAAAAGAATATGAGGCGCACGTTTAAATATGATGACCAAACCAAAAATTATTATGTTTTTTTTTTGCATATTATTACAATATTATTTTTATAATTTTTAATATTATTCAGCATTATGTCACAACTTAAGTAAATACATACGAGTATACCTAGTTTTGATGATTCAGATTTCATTTGCAAGTTGTTAGTTACATTAAAAGAATGGATGAATTTTTTTTCTTTTACTTTATTCACTTTAATTAAAGAATTTCATACTAAAAGGAGTGAATCTCAATATAAACATGACAAAATGACAAAATTCGCAAAAAAAATTTTTATTACTTACTTATTTACTTTAATATTATTTTTATAAGGAGCACCGAATGACTAATACAATACTCGAACAAGATTGAGCAAATAGAAATGATTAAGTAAGAATATTGCTATAAATTAATTTTTAAATAAGAAGATTTAATAGAAAAGGATATCCAAAACTTAGTTAAGTACTACGTAAACGTAGTTACATATTAAGTATGTATAATTTTTGCAACTAAGTTGACAAATATTTATTTTAAATAGTGGTTCAACTATAGAACAATAGGTGCTACCTACACATACATGTACTCATTTATTATTATTGCTTAACTTTTAATGTAATTGTAACAATAGTGGATATTAAATGGCAGTAATGTTAGTATACAATTGAAAATATAAAATAAATCGAATACTTTATGTTACCCTGGCCTAAGACAATACACATATTATAACTATTATGTATTCGTATTTAATAAAAGAATTTAATCAAATTTTTCTTCTTCTTTCACATTTTATTTTTTTCGTTAAGCATATTTAAGTATCAATAAATTTAAACTAAAAATTGAAAATAAGATAAAAAGGAATTTGGGATACAAATATTATTTTTATTAATTTTAAATCGAATATAATTGTGATTTATTGTTGAATTGTAAAAAATTGGCAAAATTCCAATATCAAAATATCAAAATAATTATAAACGATAGATAATAAAACAAATAATAATGTACAAGATGCAACATACTAATTAACATACAATTCATTAATCTTAATTATCTTTGCAATTACTTATAAGTACGCCAATTATCAAATTAAAGAAATAATTAAATAGGCACCTATGTACTCGTTTATTTTTGAAAAAATAATATGAAAAGAATACTTAAGTAATATGTACTAGAATACTAATTTATGTAAAATGCATAATTTTTGAAATATAAAATTCCAAAAGTTTCTTCTGTTTTAGATTTTACACAGAAAAATTCTCTTATTAAGGTCCAAATTTAATATTGTTGCTTTTTTGATCTTTAAAGCGTTAACAAAATAAGTTCTATAAAAATATTTTCAACATTTTTATGTGTTAAAACACATTAATATTTAAATATTTTGTAATATTACTATCACTATCAAGAATAGTAAATTGGTTGTTATTTTATCTAGAAACTTATCGAAAATACTCATGTGGTGTATGTTAAATACACAATGCCTTATTGCATAATATAATTGTTCATAAAAAAAATTGGTATTAAGCACATGTAGTTATAAAATCATGATTCATAAAAGCTTCCATACTTGTATTAATTTTTTTAATTAAAACTTTTCATTTACATATTTTATTCAAATCGCTTAATTTTAATGCATAGCCTTTTCAAAAATTTTGTGGTTTTATTCAAAATTAATATTTAGTAACAATAATTAAAATTAGAGGGAACTTCCTTGAATTTTTTACGCATTTATGTACATATCTAAGTACTTAGATAATTTTCTTTTTAGTTTTCAAACTTTATTTACTTATTGATAACGAAGTTTTACTCTATACGCTATTTTGTATTAAAGTTTAACAAAATTTTGCCTTTTCTATCTATCTATCTATCTATCTAATTGTGTAAGGTATTTATAGCTATAAGTACAATTACATTTTGAAAAACAACGAAAAAACTCGAAAAAGCTATAAAATTCAACTCTATTTTTCCTATAAGATTTTCCATTTTAATAATAAATGCCTAAAAATTCATAAAATTTATAAAAAAAATATCTAAAATATCGAACTATCTAAATGCCCTTTTATTCATATCCTCAAAAATTATTAATCCCAATATTTAGACTATTACTTCATTAAGTAATAGAAAAATAATTCTTGGTGTATTAGTTCGCCTATTAAAATAGCACCTATTATTTTTATTAAAATTGTTATTAAAATTAGCACGCTTTGCTATAAAGCACTCCTAATAAACTAAGTTCAAGACTTTGTTGGTTTAGTTTATATTGTTATCAGTAATTTGAAATTTTAAAAATTTTGAATTAAATTTTTTAATATCCTGTTACATCATTAAAATTATTATATAATAGGGATTTTTATTATGATTTATACTTGTTGATAATAATGTAGCTAATATTTTTATGCACAGTAAGTAGTACACAACGCGAATGTCAAGAACATGAAGTTCCACCACAATACCACATAAAAAATTACAATATCAAGTTCTGCTTATTACTGTGAATCAAATAAGAAAAACTTTCTCAAACTTTTGTAGATTTTCATATTGTCGTGCATAGTAAGCTTGTTGCATAAATTGATATTTTGACTAAAGAAATGACTTTTTTAGAATGTGTAAATTTTATAATTTAAATGACATCTACATTTTCTTACAAATTATAAACTCTACTTTTAAAATTTTAATTGGAAAAATAGTAAATCACTATTTATAATTAAAATAAGTTTACATTTTCACACAAAGAAAAGTAGGAGGACATAGTATTAAATTAGTTGCTACCTTTTCAAAGATTAATGTAATAAAAAAGGCGATTATTAAGGTGCGAGAAGTAAGTAATAAAAAAATAAAATTCTAAATTTTTTATTTAAGTATACGTATCTACCTAAATAATAATATGTATGTATGTATTTTTACACTAATGTACTATGTGGAATGAAACATAATTATGTCCATTTGGAATTTCAAATCTCTTTTACTTCTAAAGCAATCATTATGTCAAAAGTCAGAATTGAAACTTTGTTGTTGGATAGCAAAATAAATAAACTATAACGAAAAAACTATCCAGTTAACCGAATTTTTGGTTCCTTTACACCCAAACGCAGCAATATTTCATATGTGTTTGACATGGACTTTTTTCACTTTCAAAATAATCCATTCTGTACATACTTAAGTATTTAATAAATAATATAGATATATCAAAAATACCTTCTACATTGTCACTATCGAGCACTACTGCACTTTTCTAATTAAGTAAGTATAACAAAAATTGAAAATTTTTTGTTTCTTTACAATCTACGTAACAAATTTTTTTATTTTTCTTTGATATGACATTGTGTTTCACTTGAACTTTACTACACCACGATTATACATTTCAAGCTCCTTAATTGAAAACAAATTTTAGTCTCCAAAATTTTCTAATTTTAAATTAGAATAAAAAAATCAAGCTGGAATCCAATAAAAAATTTAACTTCTGTAGCTTCATGGTATTTTTTCTTATTTTTACAATTTTGCGTTGCTTGTGTTTGTATTTTATATTTTATAAAACTTCTTAAACCTACATGTATATATGTATATATATGTATGCAGATACCTACAAGTAGGTACTACCATACATATATTTTTTATGTTAAAATTTCTCTTTATACTTTTATACATAACCATTATATACTTTTATATTGAATTTTTGTTTTATTTTTTATAAATTCTTTAATGAAGTTAAAACGATTTTTTTTTATATCAAATAAATGGGTAATTTGTAACACAAACACACACCTGTTGAGGATATTGTTGATCTTGTTGTTGCTGATATAATTTTTCTTGTTCTTGCTGTTGTTGTGGATAATTATTATAATATCCTTGTTTTTCGTTTTCAATAAATTTATTACTATTATTATTATTATTATAACTATTATTTGAATTATTTTTATTAATATTATTATTATTTTGTACACCACTTGCTGAATTTCTAATTTGTTGTTGTTGTTGTTGACCGCTATTTGAATAATATTGACGACCAAAATCTTTTACACCCGTATGCGCACGCGGTCTTTCATCGACTAAACCTGATGATGAATATGGTTGTGAATGATATTGATGCTGCTGTTGTTGATGTTGTGATTGTTGTTGTTGCTGCTGCTGCTGTTGATTTTGTCCCATTGGTGATAATCCCATATTAATACCGGTATTTGCACCAACACTATTACGATCGGTGACGTAGCCGGTATTTTCACCGGTAATTGCATTTGTATTTCGACTCATACTATTGCGTCCAAACATGTTTTCATTCAAAATATATTAAAAAATTTTTGTTGTAAAAAGAACTTTGTTTGTTTATTTGGAAAAAAAAGAGAGAGGAAAAAAGCTTGTTTTGATGTTGATATTTCTATTGGTGTATTTTTACGTTTTCATATGTAAATGCTTTGTTGGCAAATACAAAATAAATTTTTACGTTAAAATGTAATGTTTATAATCTTCTCTGTTCTCCTTATAATTATTCTTTTTAGAAAGAAATGCTTTTCTTTTCAAGTATTTAGTTTCTAAATTAACAATATTGTCACAATAATATAATAGAAATTAGTTCAATTTCTATTAAAATTAAATTAGCTTAAAAGATCTTTTTCTCTTAATTTTTTGATATTGTCACGTATAAGTTTTCTCTTTATTGGCACTAAGGTTTCTCTTTATTATGATCTGGCTATTCTTTTTGATGTTTCTCTTCTTTCTCCTTGTTTATCGAATGTCAATTTGAAACTTTTCTAATGCACTCATAAAAAATTTCTGAGTAATTTTAGCTTTCCCTCTTTGTTTTTATTTCCGCTCAAATTTTTTTGATTTGGTTTCTGGTAACTTCAATATATTTTTTTTTGTTGTTTCTGTTTGATTGAATACCTAAAAATAGAGAGAAATTATATTGTTTTAATTTTTTTAAAATATGATTTATTTATATTAATAAAAGTATTCATATACATACATACATACGTATATGTTGTATTAATTTTGTATGCTTCATATTTCATTTATGAAAAAAATATAATAAATTTAAAAAAAAAAAAAGAAAAATAATGCTAAATAATTCAAAAAGGAAAAATTGCGGAAAAATTAAATGTTTTATTGGACAGATTTATTGCGCCTATAAGCATGCCATAATTAACATCCATATACATTTAATTAAAATTTATTAGTTTGGGAATTTATTGTGTGTTAATAAAAAAAAATTCAGTTTTTAAACAAAATTTGGCAATTCAATTAAATATTAATTTTTCTTATAGACAATAAGAATTTATAATAAGAATTTGTAATTGCTTTTAAGCATATGTCGTTGAATAATTCTTGGAGAGGTTTGCAATTCGTTTCTCCAAAAAAGTCGAAAAAGATATTTGAAAATTTTACAATACGCTTTACCGTATCTACTCAGAAAAAGGAAACAGAAACTTTCTGTAACAGAACGGATAAAATAAATAAAGTTGGGTCAAATCAATAGTTCGTAAAGTAGCACTTTTTCCTTCAACAAAACAAAATACTGTATTTAAAACCAATCTATTACATTATTTAAATTAATTTCATAAATATACCAAAATATTTCAAAGATTGCATGCACTTAGGACGGGACAAAAGAAAATATTGAAAGAGGCATTTATTCGAATTGAAGGGTTAATTGCTTTGTTTAAGAAAAATAATTTTTGGTGTCGCTGAAGGTAGAAAAAAATTTTCTTCTAATAAAATAAACTATTTATTAGTATGTCAAAGCTTTTAAAATTGTAGACTCCCACAACCCATTTCATAGATAGATATAGAAGAAAAATAATATCAAAAATTTGAAAAACCGGGTTTTATGTAACAATTAATTTTAGCAGCCATTTTATCTTTTTAGTATTCTATGTCGCAACTTTTTTGCGTTTGAAATTTTAAAAAAAATGGCTGACGACGGACAGAGTGAAACTAATAAGCATCTTTTTTCAAATTTTTTTTGAAAAAGTGTTAAAAAGTTGAACTTTTTTAAAGAAATTAAGTTATGAGAAACTTATTCAGCTCTCTATAAACTTTTTATCCTGTCAAAAATTCAATATCCACAGAATTCGAGCTTTGAAAAAAAGGAAACAAAATCGAAATTTGTTACAAGAATGTATAAAATATATATACATATTTTATTTTATATGAGATATTTTACTAACATTTTATTGAAAATCAATAAAATTACAACTTTTAAACCGAAAGAAAACTTATGTTCCTGAACTGTAAAGCCTTATAATATGATTTTAACAGAAGAAATAATTTTAAATTCCATAAAAAAATATATTTTAAAAAAAATCTTTATTAAATTTTAAATATAAATTCTACATACTCAAAATGGTTTTTTACAGAATTTTTTGAGAATAGAGACAATATAACAAATTTATATTAACATTTTGTATTAGACTTTTTGTAAACAAATTTAATTACTAATCTCTGAACTAACAAAGTATATAAATGCGAAATTTTAAATAAGATTAACATATTATTTGGGTCCAACTTTGATATATGTAGTTATATAGCTTAATATAAGTAAGATTACAAATCACATTATTCATCCATTAAGTATTTATCTTATTTCGATTTCCATATAAAAAATAAAATAACAAAAAACCTAAAAGAACTGAAAACTTTCTATAATATTAAATACTCCTATACTATACATAGGCATGTACATGAAAACACACAAACAAAACTATTAATTTAATTTTAAGTACCTAAATATTAAGTGTATAATTTAAATAATATATGATATCGATATAAACATAATGTACATATTTGAAAACTTCTCTGCCCCAATTATCACACACCGATAACTCAAATATCCACAGGGCATTGGTTATTTACTTTATATACATATACTTACACTAAGGGTGGTTAACTTCATGATGTAAAAAGTCAAGCATATCATTCTTAAAAAATGTTCGATTTATGGTGAAATTTTGAGTTTAGTAAGAAATTACTTTTAAATAAATTAGAATAATTTTCAATACAAAAGTATTGTACTTTATATATTTTATATATATTAAGGCATAAAGATGAAAAACATTAATTTATTCAAATTGGACTTAGGTAATATGGAACTTGACCCATCTGGTGTCTAAAAAGTACAACTTAAATAAACTAAATTAATTTTCACAAAACATAAACCAAGAAAAACATATTAACAAGCGGCAATAAGTTGAACGATTTCATTAAAAAGTCTTGAACACTATTCATATATTCCTGCTTTTTGACATTTCTGTGTGAGGATTAAATATTCTATTGACATAATTATGGGGTTCATTTAATCATTAATTAGAAACAAAACCAAGTCAACCTAGAATGAATCAATTGTAGTTTAGAGGGTAAAAACTTATTTATTTTGTGTTTAATTATGTTTCTAATTAAATTGAATTATTCAAATAGCCATTCATTGTGTAATATGCCACAATGAATGGCTATATTTAAGCATAATAAGATGTAGAAACAAGATAAAATTTTATTACATAATTCAAAACTTAAATTACAGGATTTAAATGTATATACACTTTAAAATTTTGGATAGAATATAAACATCGAAATCTATAATTTAAAATTCAAATTAAAAGTTAATACAAATCATATGAATTATTTCCAACGCGTAAAAGCCTTAACATAATAGAATTGAATTTCTCTATAATTTTTTTGAATTTTACAACCCCTATGTGTACCGTTAAAATGTCTAGCAAAATTTTGTGCACGAATCAAATTTACACTATAAAGTAGTACTCGTCTCCAGCCTTATTCTACTAGACGCGCCCAGTTTTTCACGTCACATTTTTGTTTTTGTATTCTGCTAGACGCGAAATATGATGTGACAGAAGAAGTGAGACTCGAAATTTTTTGAGGTTAAAAAGTTAAAAAAATTATTTTCAAATAAACTGATGACAGAAGGAAGTATAAATAACAAATAGTCAACTAGAGGAAGAAAGATGTTTTCGAACATTTTTTGGGTTTAAGGTAAGTACAAAATTAAGAAAATTAATTTTAAATTAACTCAATTAAATTAAAATTTCTACCGATTGGTTACTTTTACTTTAAAATTACTACTACTTTGGAATTAAACGAAATCGAAAATTTCGCATAGTTTTCATTCGGATTGTTGTGTTCGGAATAAATAGAAATGTTCGGAATAAATAGAGAGAAACAACCAGTTAATGTTATACAAATAAATATTTATATATATGTATATATATATACATATATATATATATATATATATATATATATATACATTTTTCTTTTAAAATTTTAAATTATAAAAAAAACGTGTACGAAATAAAATGGTAAATTTTTATTTTATAGAAATATAAAATATTCAAGGACAAATTTTATTATTTCAATATTATTTTGAATGTTTTCACTTAATCCAATATTATAAGGTTTACGTTAAAAGGTTATATATAGGTGTATGTACCTACCTAACTACTTGCTATTATAAAATGTATCCAACTTTAATATCATTTCTGTTCTTCTACCGTTTGTTTTTTTATTCGTAAATGACCCAAATTTTCAAAGATATACATTAAATTTATTTTTATGGATGCAAATCAAATTCCCTTCGATGCTATTATAATACTTATGATCCTTATAATATTAAATTAATGTTAAAATATTTTAGATATTGATATTGATATTGATATCAACAAAATTTTAAATCCTAAAATCTCTATAAAATGTTTTATATAAACATTGTATGTAAGCAGTGATGTGATTTAAATAATTTAATAATTATGGTTCTAGAGAAAATCTATGTAACAATATATGTATTGTTAACAGGATATAGAAAAGTTTCATTTTAAAAGCAAATTTTATAACTCTATATAACATTAAAGGAAAGCTTGCCAAATATCATTGACAAAAATTAGAAAATAAAAATATTAAGTAATAAAGTTGGGTCAAACCAATGATTTGTAAGGAAGCGCTTTTTCTTTTAAAAGTTTAAAATAGTGCTTGTAAAAGTAATCTGACATTATTTAAATTAATTTCAATTCATAAAACAATTGTATACATTTAGGATGAGCAAAAAAAAAAAACTGGAAAGATGCATTAACATATTAACTGAACTCGACGGTTAAGCAAATGAGTTAGCATGACATTTGGCTTTCTGCAGTTATAGTAACTTGGAAAAGCTTGCAATCTCAGAAATATAAGCTGCCAAAAATTCAAATTTTACAAATTTCGAGTTGCGATATCTTGAGAGCAGCATGAATTAGGAAAAAATTTTCTTCTAACAAAGCAAACTATTTATTATTGCCTGCTTAAATTTCACACCAACTTGTACATATTATCGTCTAGAAGAAAACCGTTATAAAAAATTTGAAAAAAAACGGACTTTATATTGGTTAATGGTTAATTTTGTCGGTCATTTTGTTTTTTAAAACGTCAAGAAAGCTATGCCGTGGTAAAAAAAGTTCCCCACTACTTTTTTGCGTTTCCAGAATTCAA